AAATAAAATCAATTTAAATTAAAACGAGTAAATATTATTTATCCTTCATTTACCCACGAGCCTCTTTGTTTATCTATTTCATTTAATGCTTTTGATGCTTTAATATAATCAATTTCCAGAATTTCCTTATTACATTTTTTTTGAAATGTTTTAAATAATTCTTCCAATTCTCCTTTTGAAATTATTCTATTTTCAAGTTCTTGTTTCATGTCTATTGTAGTTATAAATTCATTAATTTTTTTTATGATTAGATCTAAAACCATCACATCATGATATAATTTATACGTGGTTGTATGCATTCGTTAATAAATTTTCACATTTCTTTTCTTCTTTCAGCACCATTATATGAACTGATTATTAAGTCAACACCAACAGCTGCAATCACAGTGATTAGACTACTTACTACAATAGCAAAAATTTTTTTATTCCATCTGAATTTAAACCATATTTTTTTAAAAATTCCCTTTTCTGGTCCGGGTGGAATTGGAATTTTTTCTGGAATTGGAATGTTTTCTGGGGGATTAGGAACTGTAGTTGGCTTATAAGGATTTGATGGATCAGGAACTTGTGGGTAAATATTTGAAGGACCAGGAATTTCTGAATTAGGAACTTCTGGAGCGGTAGGTCGAACTTCTGGTTTATCAGGAATAATGTAAATTTTACCACCTTTTTTAGGTTTTAATTTCCAGTCCCAAAATTCTTTTGCATGATGGTAAACTCTTTGAAATATTTTAAAATCAGCAATAAATTCTATTGTTATAGGTAACCATAGAGTGGTATTTTCATAGAATTCCTTTTTTACATAAGTAATTTTAGGAATATTGAGTTGATTTGTTATATGATCTAATTTTTCTTTTAATTTTTCAAGTTGAAAATCTAATTTTCCTTTTTTTTCAACAAGTTCGATCGTGTATAAACTAATATCATTTTGTAATTCACTTGCTCTTATAAATCTCTTTTTATTATCAGGAAAAAGAATATCATTAAATATTGCTGTAGTAGTTATTAAATCACCTCCTAATACAGATTTTTCTTGTGAAACTATTTCAGATTCATCATCGATGTTATCATATATCTCATAATATGGAATTTCAACATCTTTCTTTAAAATAATTTCTTTATTTTCTGCCATATTTGACAAGATTAAACTATAAATTATTTCGTAAACTATTTGTCTATTTATATCATTTCAAAATATATAAATAGACATGTTTGTATCAAACATTTCAAATTTTAAATATGGCAGAAGAAAATAAAGAAAATGAAGAAATTTTTGAAATCGAACCTGTAAATAGTTTAGAAGATGATCTTGCAAAAGAAATTAATGCAATAAAAGATGTTGGGCCTGAAGTTGGTACTATGATGGTTAGGGTTTTTGAAAATTGGTTTTGGAAAAAAAAGACCAGTTTACCAAAGATTCCACAAGAAATGAAAATAATTCCTCTTTCTTATTCTGATAGTTCAGAAGAAAAGTTTGTATTGAAAGGAGGTTTAAAAAACAATTCTAATTTGACAACAATGATGGGGATGTGGGATGATGTTCTTTATCCTGACAATGAGAATAGGGAACGAAGAGTATATGAATTAGCAAATGATATTAATTCATATTCGGTTGAACTTGCTGGAAAAACAGAAAAATTAGATTCTCTTTTTACAATATTAAATCAAAAGTTAGAAGAACTTGGAGATGATTTAGATTATCCTGAATTAAAACAAAAAACTGAAATACCAATTTATGAAGAGTTTAATTATACAATTCCTCTTG